GAGAGGCACCTTAGGCCTGGGATAGACATCTCTGTCCCTAGGTCCTGTCCTCTGAAACTTTCCTGCTTCAGCCCTCCAGGGTCCTGACCCTCCACACAGCGCCAAGGTAAGGAGCCTGCACACAGTTCTTGTCCTTCTGTACCCCAGGGGCCGGCCGGGAGCTCCGGGATGGGCCTCTTCCCTCCGCCACCAGGAAGCACACAGGCGCTGCACACGCTGAGGCCAGAGGAGGGCCAAGGGCCGCTTAGGGGTGGCCGAGGGCTGCCTCCCGCCAGGCAAACTGGGCTGTGTGTGTGCTGGGCGCGTGAGGTGTGGGGCACAGAGTGGACGGGCGAAGCCGGGGCGGGCACTGCAGCAGCCCTGATGTCACAGGGTGGTTTATTCACAGCTCAGCGGCTCGCTTCGGGACTCGCGCGGATCCCCGTCCGGGGCCTCCCAGCGTCCCCTGTCCCGCCCCTGGTGTCTGTCCCTCCTGGCCCAGGAGGCGGGTGGCTGGGAAGAGCCCGCGGCTGTGACGGTGGAGCCTGGGGTGGGGCGACCTTGTTTGCTGCCCTTTGTCCAGGGCCGGAGTCCGGAGGCGGAGGCGGGTGCCAGCCAGGGAGGGCGCCTAATTACAGAGGTGGCAGCCACACTGCGACACTGCTGGGACGCTCCTCACTCTCTGGCTGGGCGGGCCTGGGGCGTGGGCGGGGCTGGAATGCCAGAAGGGAAACAGGGCGACCAGAAAACAGAGATAGGACGGCCAGAAATAGTGCAGGCAGACGCCAGAGGGGGTGGGGGACGGGGGACAGGGCCCCTACGGCGCACAGCTGTGCCTGCTGCTCTGATCCTGCTGCACCGGGAGGCCGGGTGCAGACCCAGGACTTCAGGAGCCCAGCACAGGCTTGCACCATCAGGAGTATGGTCGTTTTTCCTTTCTTCTTTCCTTTCTCTTCCTCTCTCTCTTTGGAGACAGAGTCTCACTATGCAGCCCAGGCTGGTGGGGATCCTCCTGCCTCAGCCTCCTGAGTGCTGGGATAAGAGGTGCACCCTTCTAGGAGTGTGGCTTTCTGAGCTGGGTCTCCCCAGCGAGCCGCCCGCCCTCTCCTCTTCTCCCCTTCTGGAGTGGTTTTGCAGGGCAGGTGAGCAAGACCTCTCCACCTGAGTCACCCTGGCTCCTGCTCCTGGCCGGGGCGACTCCGGCACAGGCTGACACAGCGAGGGCCCCGCCTGGCCTGGCAGCCGGGCCGCCCCACCCTCCGCCCTCCGCCGGCTGAGCTGCCTGCCCCGACACGATCCTCTTCCCACGGGAGGCTCAGCTCACGCACACGCACACGCACTCTCCCACACACGGACAGCAGCTTCTCTCCCCCTGCACACAACTGAGGCTGGGGTTTCTCTAAGGCCGTGAAAGCAAATTCCTGGTAGGGCTGGGATTTGAATCCCTGGGGTGGTGCAGGCAGTGGGTGGCCAAGGCCTGGCTGGCACCTCTCCTGGGGGGGACCGGGCTCAGTACCCCGTGGGCCTCCTGTCCTCCAAGTACCCGCCCCCGGCCCCCAGCAAACACTGGGGAGGAAGCAGAGACCCTGCCCCTCCCCCACTGCCAGCGTCCCCACCTTAGCGGGAACCCAGGGAGGACAGGGGCCCCTCCTCGCCCAGCCCAGGCCCCGGGGGAATCTGAGAGTTGAGATTCTTGAATATTTCATCAGCACTTAAGCCTCCTGGAAGCAACAGCCAACTTACAACTCATGGGTAATTTATGGCCCTGTGGAGGGAGAGGGGTGGGGGGGAGGCTGGGACCAGCTGTCCAGGGGGCGTCCTCAAGGAGCTGGTGGTGGGCGACGTGGGGGGACCGGGCTCCAAGGCCAGGGACTTTCCATTTTTGAGTATAGCAATGTATTAAACATGAATAAATTAATAAAAGGGTCATCAAAACAACTGTGCTACAGGACAGTCTCAGGACAAGCATTTTCTGGCTTCAGTCCTGCCTGTCTCTGTGACAGCGCATAACCTCATTCAGAGATGACAAAAAAGTTCAAGGGATAGCCAGGTGTGGTGGGATACTTCTGTGATCCCAGCCCTCTGGGAGGCTGAGGCAGGAGGACCCCAAGTTCCACCCAGGCTGAGCAACTTGGTAATTTAGCAAGACGGGGGGTGTAGTTTAGGGCCATGGTAACAAGAAAGCGTCCTCTCTGGCTGTGGGCCCCTCAAATGACTCCCTGCTCCCCACACCCTTCAGGGCCAAGGAGAAAGGCCCAGCGGACTTGCCCCCTAGGTGGGTTGAGGCCTGGCCCTCTGACTTCTCCTCTAGGCCGGCCCAGGGGACTGAGCCTCAGGCCTCTTCCCCGCTGGGAACAGAACCTCACGCTTTTCTTGTGAGCAGAAAGCTGAGACAGGTGACCCACAGTGGACACTGCCACGTCCTGGACTCTCCTTTTCTCGTGACCTAGTGACCTAGGGCTGAGCTCTTCCGGGTGTCAAAGGTCAAGAATGCCTCTGTGGGGGGATGGGTCACTCAGCAAGCACATCCTCCCCTTACCTCAGTTTCCCCCCTGAGTCACAGGCAGGAGAGGTGCCGGCCCCCCAGGGCTGTTCGGGGCAGAGATGCTATCCAGGCACTGGTGCCGGCTGGGCTGGCAGGTGACTGGGGTGATGCCTTCCGGGCTAGGCCTGGGGTCTGGGCTGGGATCCCGGCACACTCCTGCCGGACCCCAGGTCATCTGGGAGTTTGGCAGTGCCAGGGCTGGGCAGGGTCACAGCAGCCCCGAGGGCGAACCCAGCCGAGGCTCTCCGGAGTCAGTGTCCCCATAGTGAATCAGGGTGTCCACTAGAGCTGTCCTGGAGAGAAGCTACAGGAGACTGGAAGGAGCCCCCCAAAAGAGGGCTGGGGGGGCCTGGTGCTGCCAGACCCATCAGGGAAGCTGCCGGCCTGGTGTCAGCTGGACACAGTCTTTTTTTGTGAACCGGGGTCTCTGCGTAGCCCAGGCTGGCCTTGAACTCATGGGGATCGTCCTGCCTCAGCCTTGAGTCCCAGAATGACAGGCCTGCACCACATCTGGAAATTGCTATCCTAAGTGACGCCAACACCTCAGTCCCCAGGCCTCTAACACCAGGTCTAAACCCCATGGAGGTGCCGGTGAAGGTCAAGGGCTTTGCCTCCACACCCAGCAGCCCTCGCAGGCTGACACCAACCCCAGGGCCTGGGCTCGCTCTCTTCCCTGCTTCTCCAGGCTCCCCCAGGGAACCCTCGACAAGTTGCTTCTCGCTCCTGGCCTCCCGGGGGCAGGAGGGACCTGAACAAAATAAAAGGCAGATCACAGAGCTTTGCTCCCCGGATGAGTGTGCTCAGTATATGCTACAACATGTACCAAAAAAGATTTTAAAAAGGGAAATGTTTTGTGGGAGCTTGTCATCCCACACTCAGGAGGCCGAGGCAGGAGGATCACTGTGAGTTTGAGGCCAGCCTAAACTGCATAACAAAACCCTGTCTCAAAAAAAAAAAAAAAAAGAAAGAAAAGGCTGGGCGTGGTGGTGCACTTCTGTAATCCCAGCATTTGGGAGGCTGAGGCAGGAGGATTGCTGTGAGTTTGAGGCCAGCCTGAACTGCATAGCAAAACCCTGTCTCAAAAAAAAAAAAAAAAAAAAAAATCCAGGCGTAGCGGTGCACACCTGGAATCCCAGCACTGGGGAGGCTGAGGCTGGAGGACTGTTGTAAGTTCAAGACCAGCCTGGGCTACAGAGCCCAAGGCCAGCCTGAACTGCATGGCGAGACCCCACCTCAAAAAGACAAAAAATATATAAATAAATAAATAAACAACACAGACAGAGGCAGTGCTGGAGGCACCAGGCACATAGCAGGCATCCTGCTGTCCACGCTCCCCTGCTGCCTGGACACTGGGGAGACCTCTGTGGGGCCCAAGCTGAGGCTGAGGCGGCAGCAGGGGCAGGGACTTGGGCCCCACGGGTTCTGCCAGCCGCGTGGGGACGGCAACGCGGGCACCAGGAGAGGCGGGAGGGGCCAGGCTCCCAGGGAAAAGGAGCTGCGTGAGAGAGGCGGGCACCGTGGGCTGCACAGGAAGGGGCACAGCTCGCACAGGCACACGCACATGGGCACGCTGCGTGCATGCACACAAGAAATCGCACGCCGACAGGTGCCAACCCTGTGCCTGCCCTGACGTCCACCCATCCCTCTTGTCTTAAATTCTGATCTGTATAACTCTCCGTTCACCACCGCTGGTCCTGCCGGATGTGAGCTCCGAGGGCACAGTGCCGGGCTGCGTTGTTCCCGGTTGTGCACCAAGCCCTGCCGCTCACCGGGCACCAGGAGGTGTTCAGCGCGCGTGTGAGTGTCAAGTGAACCCTGAGCACGTCCAGGCATGGCGTGCTCTCACAGACGCGCCCTCTGTGAGCCCCGAGGGTCACCCACGAGGCTGGAAGGGCATCAGCGGCCGCGTGTCCACCACACATGGGCACCCAGGGCTCTGTACGCGGCCCACGGGCAGTTTCAGACCCACGCCCAGCGCCGGATTCCACAGCTTGGGCTCAGGGGTGGCACAGCTGCCCTGAGCCAGCCTGGGGGAGCCGGGGCGGGCCACAGACAGCTGGGAAGGGGTGGGGTGGGCAGGGCCACCCGGGCACAGGCGTTGTCAGGAAGGCAGAGGCTGTGCCCCACCTGCCGGGGAGCACGGAGGATGAGGTCACCAGGTCCCTGCAGATAGACTGTAGCCTCTGGCCCTTGGTCCAGAAGGCATTTGGGTGCGGCACGGGGTCCTGGGCACTGAGGGGCGGGGCCGGGCACCTCAGGGGAGGGCAGGGCAGCCCGCAGGTCCGGGAGGTGCCCACTCGCATGCCTACAGGCCCAAGGGGAGCAGTGCCCAGCAGGGAGAAACCCCACTGACCCTGGAGTCCCGCCCAGCCTTCCCTGCGAGACCGCGCTCCGCGCCCCCTGGCGGCTGACCCGGGAACGCGCGCCGCTCCCAGTCCGTGCCGGTCTGGTCCCTGCCACGGGGGACCCCAGGTACTGCCCTTCACCAACAGTGAGCATTTATTGAGCACACACTGTCTACTGGAGCTCCCGGACTCCTGCTCCAGTGCTCCTCGGCCCTGCTGTCCCACTGCAACTCGGGCGGGGACTCCAGCCGCAGCCAGAACTCCTGCAGGATGTTGTCCAGGAAGCGGGGGATCCCGTCACCCCTGCACACGGCCTGGCCACGGCCCCGTGGTCGGGACACAGCAGAGGCAGCGGTGCATTCGGTGGGGACAGACCAGCAGTGTCCACAGTCAGGTTTTCATAAATAGTCCTTGCTGCCTGCCGCCTAGCTTCCTGAGCTCTGGAGGGGTGCGGTGACCCCTGGGGTGACCCCTTCTCATGCCAGCTCAGGTTCCCGCTCTGAAAGGAAGAGGCAGGTGTGGGGTGAGCCCAGGTCCTGTCCCTGCCAGAGGAGCTGGGGACAGGTCTCAGCCAGTCATGGCCCTGGCCCCAGGGTGGGGCTGCTAGGAGCCCAGTCAACCCCAGCAGCGGGTCCCAGGACCCACCTGTGCCCAGCCCTCCCCAGCCCTGGCACTCACCAGCCTCGGCGTCGTCCCCCTTGGCATCTGGCTCCTGCCACCAGTCTGCGTAGAGACCCTCCTCGTAGTCCCCGGGCCCCTCAAACTCCGCGTCGGACGGGGGGTGCTCCGGCTCAGGGGGCGGCTCCGCCTCCTGCAGCTCCATCTAGAAGGTCCCAGGTCGGGTCGGGGTGAAACTGGGTCACTGCAGGCCCAAGCCCAGCCAGGCTCCGCCAGCACAGGGCACCCTGGCTCCAGCTCGGTCCCCAAAGTGGTCCCTAACGGGAGAACGATGTGGTGGTCCAGCCCTGTGACCGCCAGTACCCGCTGTCCTTGTCCACCCCGCCCTGGCCACAGCCACGCTACGCTGCCCGGCCTGGACAACTCCAGCTGCGCCCTCCAGGGCCAGGCATGAGTCCGGGGACCCCTGCCAATGACCCCAGCGGCAGCCTCCTTCCACAAGACCCAGGGACACGACTGCCTTCCTCCAACCCGGCCCAGCCCCAGCCTGAGGCTGGGCAAACAGCAGGCGGCAAGAGACAAGGTGACAGTCACCAAGGGTTACAACTCTCAGAGCTCTTACTGCAGGCTGGCTCTACAAGTGCTTTACAATCTTCTCTTTTTCCTGTCCTGGGGATCGAACCCAGGGCCTCTCCACCCATCTGAGCTGTATCCCCAACCCCTTTTTAATTATTTATTTATTTATTTATTTACTTTTTGTCTTTTTGAGACAGGGTCTTGCTATGCAGTTCAGGCTGGCCTTGAGCTCACTTTGTAGCCCAGGCTGGCCTTGAACTCACAACAATCCTCCTGCCTCAGCCTCCTGAGTGCTGGGATTACAGGCGTGAGCTACCACGCCTGGCTCCCTTTTTTATTTTTTAAGACAGGGTCTCGCTAAGTTGCTAAACTGTCCAGGCTGGGCTTGAACATGGATCCTCCTGCCTCAGCCTCCCCAGGTTCCCATCCCCAGTGCTGGGATGACAGGCGTACACCACTATGCCTCACCCACTTTATGTTCTTGGTCTTGCTCATCTCTCACCTGCACAAAGTGAGCAGGGCACTCTCGGCCCTTTGGGTGGTTGGACAGTGGTGAGGTTACCTAAGACTTGCCTGAGGCCACCAAGAAGCTAAGCAGTGGGGCCAGCTGTGACTAGAGCGCTAGCCTGCGGCTACCGCACACCACCCTGTCACTCACTGGCTCCTCCACGCTTGCTGCTGGAGGCCAGTTCTGTCCCAGCTGCCATAGGCGCCTTCTGTCCCCCGGGAGGAAGGGGCTGGGGTGGGAGGGAGCAGGGCTGCCCCAGTCCAGGTTTGGGGGCAGGGAGAGCCCAAGCTGACACTGCAGACCCGGGCTGCCGGCTCTCCTGTCCTGGGTCTGCCACAAACAGGCTGGGTCAGATAGCCTAGGCTCCTGACACGAAGTCTCAGAGGAGGCTGAAACAGGAGGGCCCAGAACCAGGGACCCAGGGAGCTTTCCTAAAGGAGGCACCATGTCAGCCAGGCTTGGGCCAGTATAGGAGGGCCCTGGGGTCCCCAAGTTGAGCAGAGAAGGGTAGTTCTGGGGACCCCATAGCCCCGCTGAGGCCAAGGACACTGACCTCGTCATCAGCCTGCAGGTGTGCGCGAGAGTAGTCCAGCAGCTGCCGAAGCTCGGCCGTCTGATTGTGGTAGAGCGCGGCCTCCTGGGGGAGGGAGACACATGGGTGAGCAAGCTCTGTTGGTCTCGAGGATGGACAAAGAGACCTGCGCTCAGGCCTGCTGCCCTGCCCAGCTGGAGGACCAGGGAGCAACGGCAGCTCTCGAGCCGATCACGCAGTCAGAGCCACTGGGAGCTCTCGGCTGGGGAGGGTTCCGGGGTTCCAGGGGTTCCAGGATTCAGGGAGAAAGAGCACCAGGACCCACCAGCGATGTCCGCCACCCACAACGACAGCAGCTATCACTGCGTGCCACGTGCCAGCGACACTTTCAGAAGGCTCAGCAACGTCCCCAGGCTACACAGCTGCGGTGCTGATCCCTGAATCCAGGCTCTAGCCCTGGCCTGAGCTCCTCCCTTTCCCAGAAGCCCTAAGGGGCACCCACCTCCCGGGGCAGGAAGTCCTGGTCCTCCAGGCCCCAGCGTGCACGGTGGAAGCGGTAGTACACCAGGTTCTGCTGCATGATGCTGTCCCCGGGGTCGAAGAGCATGTAGCTGGCGGCACTGCGGGCGGCCTGGCGCACGTCGTTCACTGCAGGCAGCGGGACAGCCAAGAGTCGCCCCTCGAGGCCCCGGGGACAGCGTCCACCACCCACCTAGTGCCCCTGGACCCCACCAGCAGCAATGCAAACAGCCAATATTGCCCCCCCACCGAGTGAGCGCCAGGCGCTCTGAGGCTTGCTGAGATCCTACCACTCTCTGCCACCCTCATTTTACAAACAAGAAACCTGTGGCCCAGGGGTTTGGCTGGCACAGCTGGGGGAGGATGGCACTGAAGGACCAGGATCTCTCAAGGGTCTTGCCATGCAGTGGTAAGGCCCTCCTGGTACTCCTGCTCCAGCCCCAGCCCCTGAGCCTGGGTGCCTGAGCCCTGGCTGTCGGTTCTGCCCCGCTCTTCTGCAGCCACAGCCTTTGCCCCCTACCAGCCTCAGTTTTCCCATCTGTAGAGTGGGCTGGGTATGTGGGGCAAGGACCAACTGTGCTTAGGGCTCTGTAAGCTGCCAGTGCTTAGTTGTTGGCAGGAAGCCTCCAGGTCTTTTCCCGTGTCCCCACAAAGCTTAGACCCCTGCTGTCCCCCCGGCTCACACTTGTAGTAGGCGAACTGGAGGTAGTGGTACATGGTGGCCACGAACTTGTCCACAAAGTAGCCGCCCACGTTGGGGGTCAGGTCAGCCTCACAGTCCACCTTGCACTGCAGCGACTCTGCAAAGAGGTCTGGGGGACAGGGCGGGAGCTGGGGGCACCACAGGAGAAAAGGGCCCCAGGCCGGCTGCTGCACCCGCTCCTGGCCCAGGAAGTGCCCGCGGTAGGCGGTACCTGCTATGGCCGGGTAGAAGTCCTTGAACTCCACCTGCTCCTGGGCCCCCTCGCATCCCGCCAGACACCGGGCAAAGACGGCGAGGTACTCGGCCAGGGCGCGCTCCATGTCCTCGGCGCTGCTGCGGAAATCGCCACTGTTGTAGAGCTTCACGGCCCGGAGGAACACGGCCTGGGGGGGACATGGAGGTCAGGGGAACCCCAACACCTCTCCTCCTCTACACCTTGGGGCTGGGAGCAGGGACGCAGCTCCGGGCGTTCTCCTGCGGCGCACCTCGTAGGGCTGGGCCTCCAGGTCGGTGAGCGACTCCTCGGCGACGTCCACCATGCTCCGGTAGTAGCCCAGATACTTGGCGGTCAGCTCGTGCTTCGGGTTCTTCTGCAGGAAGGTGTACGCCGCGGCCATCGCCTTCTCCAGCCGGTCGTCCTGGGGGCGCACAGCGGGCAGCGCGCGGTCGGCGGGG